CACAATGTATTGTTTGTAATGGCCTTGATAAAGCTCCTGAGATGAGCGAAAACGTTGCACAATTAAATGTCACATTAGTTGCACTTGTGTCCTTTTACTATACTTTTACTCGTCGTCCTGACCGCCGGGTTCAAACCCCCACCCCGTGGTATGGTTTGGTTTCAAATCGTTCGTCATTACGATTTCGTGAGTAATGTTCCAGGCTGGGGGACGGGTCTGCATCAAATTCACCATCTTCCATCTTTCTCTGCATTGGACTGAAAGTCACTGATGGGCGAAAACGTTTCCAGGATAAATGATACCCAACTGTTGCACAGTCGTGTTTCATTTATCAATTTCCAGTTGCATGATTTCATAGTAGGTTAATATACGTGGATTTTTGTCCTGCTAAGATAATCGTTCGGATTTTTAACTCTGGAGGGTTTGCCACCCAGAAAGTCAGTGCGTTATGTGGGTTGCGTGTGCGTGTGGGTCGCCATAGGATGAGACCCACACCGTCAACTAACACCCACGGTTACCTATTTTGCTGCTAGGTGAACAGGACAAACAGGTGCAAGGAAACCACATCGAAATGCCTACCACCCCGCCGGGAATCAAAACCGGGCCCTCGTATATGAAGGAGGGACCTTTAGCCACCAGGTCACAGGAGGAACAGGTGACGAAAACGACAGAGCTCAAGGCTGCATTGTGTGTGGGGATATTAGGTTCTATTGATGAAGATGCCGTTATATCAAGGGGGCATACAGTGCCTGAGGAATGTAGGTAAGCGTGGTTGATCCAGCGACTGCAAGATACGTCCAACTATTTACATCATAAAGCCCTCCACCAGTATCAAACCTACCGTATGATGAGTGTGTGGGAAGCAGGAGACGACAGTGTTGAGGAAGAGGGAATATGGTGAGAAAGTGGGACAGAGGTATTATGTGGGTCTTACTCACCATGATGGCAGTTATGTTTGACACATTCTCTTAAATACTAGATTATGATATAAGCACTGCAGCAGGCGCCTACTGGGTCACGTAACTCTCCTTAGAGGTGAAAGAAAAGATGGTGTACTGAAGGTGGGTTTCAGTGTGGGCAGGGGTGGACGGAGAAGGTGGCTTAGGGTTACAGGTGGTGGAGGTGGGCCAGTGGGGAGGGGACGGGATATGGCTTAGGTGGTACTGGTGGTGGAGGTGGGCCTAGGCGAGACGGTAGGTTGGCTTTGGTGGTAATGGTAGTGGAGGGGGGGTTGTGAGGTGTGTGGGGGAGGGTAGCAGTTTGTGGGAATTTCCGATCAGAAGCTGGTGAGTCTTGTTGCACTTGCAACGATACTTAGTACACAGGTTCTAATCCTTTTTCTATCACAATTTTCCGATGTTTTGGCCCAATATGTGCCCATTTACCAAATGACTCACGAAATCGTAATGACTCGATTGCAGACAAACACATACACGGGTGGGGGTTGAACCCTGCTCGGTCAGAGGTCTCAGTTTTGAGACTCTGATCGCAGGTTTCAAACCCCACCAGTGGTATGGTTTATGTCCCATACCACCTTCATAGGGATGTGGAAATCATCAGTACTTGGAGAGATAAGAAAACAGTGATTGTTTTCCTCTTTCCTTTTAATTTGGTCTCAGGATCGGGTCCAGTACCCCCATTATTAGTTCCAATACCCCCAAGGGTATGTATACCACCCGGCTGGGTGATGGTGTAATTTGGCCCTGCATAATAATAATAATTATAGGTACTAGGTATAAACCCGACCATAGCTGACATCAGTGGACATAACTATGACAGAAAGCCAATTGTTATGAAGGCTTTACCGCAAAATTAGGTCAGTTTGTTCCAGGATGCGACCCCCACACCAGTCATAACACCCAGGTACCCATTTATTACTGATGGGTGAACCATGGAATCAGGTGTCTTATGGAATTAAAACGTCCCTAATGTTTTAAGCCGTACCAGAGATTCGAACTCCGGACCTCAGTGTGTGAGCTGAGTGTACTAACGATCCAGTTACGTGACGCCCAGTAGGCCTGCTAGTATTTAAGAGGAATGTGTCAAACATAATGCCATCATGGGTGAGTAAGACCACATAATACATGAAACAAGACCCAGACCCACATAATACATGAAACAAGACCCAGACCCACATAATACATGAAACAAGACCCAAACCCACATAATACATGAAACAAGACCCAAACACTCCTAATGGTACTAATTAAACTAATGGAACAACATGATTTTGTAACTCTGTTCCTGTATCTGATTGTATTACCATTATCATAACATTGGTAAAGCACCTAAGAACTGGGACTCAGAGGGAAAATCACATGTTGAGTGTAAACTAATGTTGCCAGTGCTTACTAATGTAATTGTACGATTGAGGTAACTAGTGGACATGGTTCCTCACGACAATAGATGAGAAACTAAAACCTAACAAAACCCCAGGTTCATGATGAACTGTTTGCTAGTGGTGTTGTTAAAGGAATGTAAGAGAAAACTTAGCATAACCTTTGGCTAATCTTTGTTTAACATATCACGACAAATTTCGCAGAGTGCTGGATAAAGTAGGAAAATGGCAAATGTATACTATTTACAATGGCAGGTGACGGTCCTTGGCTTTGAACTCTAGACCAATAAGGCCTTACCTCATAAGTAGGCGAAAATTATGGATTCAATAATTGCCGAAGACAATTCTTAGCCATTATTGACAGGCACAGATTGATTCTCAACACAGGTTTACAAATCGGGCTTTCCTGTCTTACGAATTTACTAACTTTTTTTCACTAAGGTGTTTGAGGAGGTAGATCATTGGTTAATGTTATATGTTATGTGTATATGGACTTCAGTAAAGCTTTCGATAGAGTTCCATCAAGGCTATTGAGGAAAAACTTATGGCCACTGGAATAAGGGAGAAATTTTTTCCTGGGTAGAGCATTCGTTGACAAATAGGCAGAAGGAGTTTGCAATAAATGGGGAGAAATTCTGAATGGGGGCACGTCAAAAAGCGGTTGGTTCCTCAGGGGTCAGTGTTAGGACCCCTTGTTGTTCACAATTTACAATTAAAACGACACATTAAAAAAAGATGAGGGAATCTTAATCACGACATAAGCAAATTTCTGATGACACCAAAATAGGGCCGTCCAATTCATTCTAATGAGGACAACTAGAGCACTCAGGATGATTTGATAGATGATGCATTGGGTCGGAGAAGTGGCAGATGCAAGTTTAATATTGGGGACAAATGGAAGAAAGTTCTAAATGTTGGACAGAAAATAACCAATGCCTCATATAAACTAAATAATGTGATTTTAATACTACTGATTGCGGAAAGGATTTAGAGGAGTTATGGTTAACCAGTAATCTAACCAAGACAACAGGGCTTAGTAGGTTCGCAATAAAGCTAACAGAATTTCTTGGCTTCATATCAGTTGTATAAATAATAGAAGTCCTCAGGTTGTTCTCAACTATGTATATCCTGGGTTAGGCCTATTTAGACTATGTACAGACTCAGTTCTGGTCACGTGTATTATAGAAATGGATTTAATGCTCTGGAAAAACGTACAAGAGGAGGGATGACAAAGATGATCCCATGTTTCAGAAATCTTCCATATGGAGGGATTAGACTGAGGACCTGAATCTGTACTCTCTAGAAAGGCGTAGAATTAGGGGGGATATGATCGAG